TTAATCCGCTGAGCTATCTGGCTGGCCCTGACATTTCTTTATTAATATTTCATGAATGGGAAAATGAACTCTGTAGAAAACACACCTTAACTTCTACTTTAACCTCTGGGAATATAGTAATTTTTTTTTTTTTACTAAGAACTTCATTATCACAGTAGTAGATATTAAAGTTATACTCTACCATATATGTTAGTCATTTTCTGGAATTAAAAACTATATTGAGGGGCCAGGGAGATAGCCCAGTTGAATAAGCGCTTCTCTGGCATGCGCAAGGGCCTGAGTTCAATCCCTGGTTCCACCAAAAAAATAAATAAATAAATAAAAACTATATTGAAGGACTTGGTGTGTAGCTCAGTGATCGAGTGCATGCCTAGCATGTACAAGGCCCTGGATTTGATCCCCAGTTTCATGAAAGAAAAACTCAAAAAAACAGTTATTCCGAAAAAAATGAACGTTACCAGTTATATTCCGTCATTGCCAAAAGGGGGACAGTCTGTAATGTAATTACACATTCACAGAACACCGATGACTTTTTGAAAATAATGGAAATAATATAAATGTTGGAGTCAGATTTGGTCTTTGAATTGTACAAGTTTGAGCAGCTTTTTTAAAAATACGGATTTATTTATTTGGATGTTTTTCCACTTGCTTTTTTTTTTTTTTTTTTTTTTTTTTTTTTTTTACAGGAAATTGCTTGGTAGTGCAGGCTGGCCTCCACCTCTCGGTGAGCCTCTATCTTCAGCCTCCTGAGTGCTGGGACAGAAGGTGCATGTCACCATAGCCCAGGTGTTTAAACAGGTTACATTTCTGAGCTTAAAGATTTTCACCTACGAAATAGCAATAAAGCACACTTGTTAGTGGTTCTGTTGGAGTCAGTGAGCTCCTCACCTCACACAGAGGACCTGAAGGGTGAATTCCTTCTGAGCTTGAGCTTGTGCTGGCCCCACCCTGGGCTCCACTGCCTGTCAGGGGGCAGCACTCCACGGTGCTGAGCCAGGTAGTCAGCATCGCCACGCACCTGCTTCTCACATTCAGCCGTGCGAGTGACTCCCTGCCCAGGAGGGAGCAGTTCTCTTCAGCCTTGGGTTGATAGTGTTCCTTTTCTACAGAGATAACAGAGGCCAAACGCTTTCTTGTACACACCCTTCTCTCCACTACACTCTTGCCCTGGTACAGCTCTGGGTTAAGTGCACATGCATTGCAAGCTGTCACTGTGCCTTGCTTGCCAGTGGGCTGGTGACCTGACAGCACATGGAGCTCTGTGGGTCTCCCGAAGGAGCCGTGTTTAGCCTATGTGCCACTCCGAGTCCCCCATTGTCACTACAGAAATAGGCTGTCCTTACTCAGTGCTGTTTTAATTTTGAGAGCTGCTGAATCAGTTTTGCTTAGGATTGTCATTTTCAATTTGTGGGGTGGGGCCCTGGGCAAACGATACTGCTTGGCAATGAGACTTAGATGCACTCTCTCTAGAAAGTTAAAATTTGGCTTCTGCATAGCTGGAAGTAACTTGAAATACTCTTTTCTAGCCTAGTGTTTTAGAGGTGACTCTGCATTTCATGTGTCTAGGAATTCTTCCATGTGGGATACCCCAAACTGTTGTGGTAGGGCTTTTGTCTTTTTTTGATACTGGGGATCAAACTTAGGCCCTTGCACTTGCCAGACAGGTGCTTCAGCCATTGAGTTGTCTCCTTGGCTGTCTAGATTTTCATACATTTTTTTGGTTTTGCTTTTTTCCTTTTTGCAGTACTGGGGATTGAACTCGGGACCTTGCACTTGCCAGGCAGGCACTTACTCTACTGAGCCTTCTCCCCAGCCCTGTCTAGATTCTTTTTTTTTTTTTCCTTCTTCTTCTGATGGCTCTTTTCAGTTTATTACATGAAGGAGTTACACGAGTCCAAGTGAAAGCAGACCCCAATGGTTACATTATACAAGCTGTGAGGTTTTTAAACTCGTGACAAGGGACTGAAGGGCCTTTCTACTCATTGCAAGGAAATCCTCATGTAAGCTTCAGTGAGCCACAAGCACTTCAGACCCATGAACCTTCAGCTGCTCATCCTTGGCCAGTCTGATTTCTACCAGGAACTGCCATACGTTCTTGTGCCGGTCACCCTGGAGCTGGATCATTTCTCCATATTCTGGATGCCCAATGACAGTACCATTGCAGGCAAATTTCTTCTTAAACACCTTCACCAAGTTCCTTTTTATCATAATCATCACAATCCCTTGGATGGTGGTGAGGGTCTTCCTGCCGTTTCTCTGTTGGATTCTTATATGGATATAATCCTCGGTGCTGGCAGGAAGCAGATACTTGTGTCAGCAAGGGGGTAGAAAGAGTGGAGGTTCTGGATAGCGGACATACGATATGATTATTTTTCGTCGGTGGAAACGGCCTGCGGAAGGTGGCTGTGGGAGAAGACAGGACGGATCACCGGGAAGCAGGGGACACGAGGCAGCTGAGTCCTTGGCGGCAGCTCAGTGACTCCCTGTCTAGATTCTTAAGAGCCTTTGTAGGAGAAAGGTGTTTGACAAAGGGATTGGAAGAGACCTAGTAAGTCTCCCATACATAGCTTTCCAAACTGCCTTTAGGAAAGTGTGAAGAGCACTTTCTATGAGTCTGCTGTATGTAGACTCCTGAACTATTAATACTTTCTCAAAGAATAAGTGATTACACCTGGGAATTGTAATCATTTATTGATTAATCACTCATCACAGTCAGCCACATACTTCCCAAAGTTACATGTTCCTGTTTGCTTGGAAGTAGTTCTGTTGCTGTACAACTCCAAAACTTAGTGACTTGAGCAACAGCCATTGCAGTTCCCATGGATCCTGGGCTCAGATGCAGCGGAGCTGAGCGTTTCTCAGGGTCTCTGGGCCATCACTGTAGTGTCGCCATTTACACGCGTAAGCAGTCTGCTTCCAGGGCGGAGTGCTCAGGAGGCAGCCTGCTCTCACCAGCATTGCCTGTGTCTTCACGACAGTGTTGCTTCTTCTCCCAGTGACCTTAGGAGTGTGCGTGCCCACCAGGAGGCACCCATCGTGCTTTCTGTGGTCTCATTGTGGGGTTGCACTGTTTTCTGTCCGCCTCTGCTGGGGAATGGGGGGGTCACTTCAATCACCCCATCAGGGTGAGCCGGGCTGCACCATGGGGATGAAGGCACAGCTAGGGTCTGTGCATCCTTGGAGGCACCGACCACGTGCCCTCTGTTAAGACCCTGCTCCAGACTTTGGGCCTCGTGTGCACTTAGACATCCTCCAGGCTGGGCTTCCTCGGTGGCTGGCTGGTCAGCTCCTGAATCCCGGCTCCCTCAGGAGACATTCCATGGATGTGGCCCACACAGTTTTCCTGTGCCAGGAGTCTATCACGATAGCATTATTGAAAACTTGAGACTTAGGATTTAAAATCCCAACTAATGTGCTGTGATTTTTAAAGTGAAAGCCCATGAGAAATCCAGAGGTGACAAGACCGTAGCGGCAAACAAAAAGCTTACTGTGTGTGGGCATTGAGAGTGCCCCAGCCAAGGTTCTCCTACCCCATACAAACAGCAACAAAACTTAGTGCTTTGCACCCCTGTTCTGTGTCCATGTGGAATTTGGACAGGAAAAAAAAAATGTTAGCCATTTGTAACCCCCCACAGGAGTGGGGACCAGGCCCCTTGGCATTGAAATACTTTGCACACACTTCCCATGGAGAGCCCTGTGTGGCATCCCTTATGCCACAGACTTGCCTGTGTTTCAGTAATTGTCAGAGGAATCGGGAGAGGGGAATTTCTCAGGCTATTATTTGAGAAAAAAAAAATTATGGGGTGGAACAAGCTTTTTGGTCATTTGACTCACATCTGTTACTTAGAAATTCTGTCTGCAGATCTCTTAGCAGGTCGATGTTGGGATGTGAGGCAGGCGAGATAGCTCTGGGACCAGGGTTTGAATCCCTGCATCACATGATGGGCCTGATGGTGCCTGCCTGTAATCCCCTCGCTGGGGAAGGCTGAAAACAGGAGGATCATGAATCTGAGCTGTGTAGTAGGACTCTATACCAAATGCATTAAACAAATATATATTGTGATGTGTAGTTTGATGGGTCCAATTGACTGGGTCACAGGCTCCCAGATGTGGTGTTATCCTTCTGGCCCTCTAACTTTAAAATCTTAAACAGGTCTTAGGATCACTTACTCCGCGAGTATTTAGCCCTGATGTGCAGTGTACAGTATACGATGGAAGTTTACTCGAACCAGGAATCACACACACACACACACACACACACACACACACAATTGTTTTTCCTTTTTTTGGGATTCTTAGTTCTTGGCACACTCCTTTGAAGTTCAGGAGGCTGGCCTCAACTCATGGCGGTTCTGCCTCAGCCTCCTGAGCGCTGGGATTACAGGCATGTGCCACCACGCCAGGCTTTGCACCAACCTTTGAATTCCCACCTATCGGTGCAGCCCAGCCACTTAGAGGCGCCCAGCCTCCACCCCACGGGCATTTCCGGAAGACGACTTGGGCGTGGAGGAGTACCCCTGATACCCCAGCGATCTGGGGGGCGGAGGCACTGGGAGCGCAAGTTCGAGCCCACCCCTGGGCAACTTAGCAAGCCTGTCCCCTCCAAATATAAAAGGGCTTGGGATGTGACAAGGTGCGGAAGCCCTGCACTGGAAACAAACAAAAAGCGAAACCCTAAACCGGCACGATGAGGACGACCCTTAGACTGCACTTCTGTCCACCGGTTAGGAACGTCCAGAAGACGTGAAGTCTTGTCAAAATTGAGAGATGCCTCTCCCAATGAGATAGCTCGTTTTGTTTGTTGGGTGAAAGAAGAAGAGCGTCGACTGGTTGTTTCGACAGCCAACCAGGGCTAAGGTGTCTCAGCCAATCAGCGTGCAGAGGGCTGCTCGAGCGGCCAATGAGGAGCGCGCGCCGGGTTGCGGCCGCCCAATGGGTCGCGAGCGGCGCGGCATTTGAATCCCGGAACCGAAGCGGTCGCCGCAGACCCGGTGGGTGGCCGCCGCGCAGCTAACGGAGCCGCGGAGCCAGCGCTGTCCCTGCGCCCGGCCCCGGCCCGGTCCCGGCCCGCGGCCTGTCCCTCATGGCGCTGCTCCGACGCCCGGCGGTGAGTGGCCAGCCCGCCCGCGTCCTCCGGGGCTCTGAGGGCCGCCTCCGGCCGGCCGGGTGGGAGAAGTGGGCGCCGGCGGGAGCCCTTCCCCGCCTCCCCGCCTCCCCGCCTCCCCGCTGAGGGTCCGGGCCAGGAGGGAGCGCCCGAGGGGTTCGGTAGCCGCCCGGGGCTCTGCGCGCGCCGTCAGCCCACAGCGCGGCTGCCTTCGCGTCTGCCGCGTTTTGCATGGGTCCTAAAAAAGCTAATTTCCCCCTTCAAAAGCCTGTAACTTGGCCGAGTCCGAGAGAAAAGGGTCCAAATTAATTTGTCTTTGTAAAAGCCGAAGCGGCACTGGAGTTTTGGTATTGTACCTGTGGGCTTGAATCTTTCCCGGATTTACTTTTGCTGAAAAGCTAGTGTCCTGCGCCAGCTGAATTGCATTGTCCCGGCGCTAACACGAGTTAAAAGCTGCCGGTTTTCCATTCTGGATGAGTTTAAACTTGGTCACATGACCAGGCTTTAGCCCAATAGCGTCGAGCTTTCAGACCTTTTTAAAAAACCGAGCAGTGGCTAACTGTAGAATCAACAGTGTTGAGATTTGACATCCTAACCTTAAATACCAAATATATGCATTCTCTACTCTATTCTCTTGTACCACCATCAACTAACAAGTCCATAATTAAAAAAATAAGATTAATTTTGCTTTACCTGAAGACAGAGACTTGGTATGTAGTTTAGAATGCCCTTGAACTCACTATATAACACAGACTGGGCCCAAAGACATGCTCATTCTCATGCCTCAGCCTCCTAGTGCTGGGATTACGGGCATGAGTCACTACACCCAGCTAACAAGTAATTTTTTTAAAAAAATTTATTTGTGTGTGTGTTTTTCTAGCAAGCTTTTAAGTATATTCTGGATAAACCACTTAAAGTCAAATACTGTATGGCATTTCCTGCATACAGTTCCAGCCTTCCCAGTTTGAGAGCTTGTAACTATTTTATCTAGGAAAACTAAGTTCCTTAGTATAAACGTCAGTTCTCTGGCTCTCCTTGCCCCATCCTGGGGATTGAACCCAGGGCCTTTGCACTGAGTGATATCCTGGGCTCTTTTGATATTTTATTTTGAGACAGATTCTCACTGATCCCCTGAACTGCCCAAGCTGGATTGGAACCTGAGCTCCCTCTGCCTCAGCCTGTCCATTACAGGTGTCAAGCTCATCTTTTAAAGCTTTATTTGTAAAAGATCATCTCCACAGGAGCATTTCTTATTTCTAGAATGGAATAATAAAATGAATTCAGGTTTTAAACATCCAAGTTTTTAAACAAATAGGTTTATTATCAACTATGGATATTAGGCCTTTTCAGTTTTTCATTTTAAGTGCCCTTGGGACTAACCTCGTTAACATAAAAGTTTTTAAATGACTGACCTACAGGGAATTCTAACTAGTGACATGAGAAATAATCATTTATTTAGGAAGCTTTAAGTTCTCTTAAAGGAAAATCCACTGGAAAGATCAAAATAGTTGTGCAGGGTTGGAGATATATGGAGATACATGGAGAACCTATATTATAGGTAAGATGGATGAGTGATTTGCCTGAATTAGAATAATGCTATTGTAAAGTAGCATATTTATACTTCTTAAAATATGGCTTTTCCCTTTTGAAAATCTCAACATAGTCACCTTTCCCAAAGCAATTCTTTCTCCCCTACCCTCCCATTTTTTTCTTTCTTTCTTTCTTTTTTTTTTTTTGAGTTTTGTTCTTACTATGTAGCCCAGGCTGGCTTTGAACTCATGGCAATTCTACCTCAGCCTCTCAAGTGCTGGGTTTACAGGCATGTGCCACCATTCCTTGCTCCCAAAGTAATTCTAAATTTGAGTATCTGGGATTAAGTATTGAAATTAATGTTATTATTTTTAAATTTCATGTATTTAGTACAGGGTCTAAAGAGCCTATAGGGTCTCACTACGTAGATTGGACTCATAGTGATTCTCATGTTTTCAGCCTCCCAAGCATGGGGATTATAGGGATGCGTCACCATGCCCAGTCTTAAATTATTTTATTGTTCTATCAACTTTGTTTTCTAGGTGTCCAATGATTTGGAGAATATTGACACAGGAGCTAATTCTAAAGCGAAGAGTCATGTGACTACCAGGCGAGCAGTTTTAGAAGAAATTGGAAACAGAGTTACCACCAGAGGAGCTCAAGTAGCTAAGGTAACATTCGGGAGGCTGGCCATGCGCTGGAGGCTGGCTTGGTGGGGCAGGTGGCACATGCTGGCTGGCTCACCTGCCCTGAGTTTCTCTTTTCTTATAGAAGGCTCAGGACTCCAGAGCACCAGTTCAGCCCGCCAAAGCGACGAATGTCAGCAAACAGCTGAAGCCTACTGCTTCCGTGAAACCGGTCCAGATGGAAATGCTGGCTCCAAAGGTAGGAGGCTCTGAGTTTACAAGTACGTAAGGGGTGTCTGGTTCTTAGCTGGACAGCAAGGGTGCCTTTACCTGTGCTGGGACTTTGGTACAGTAGTCACAGCCGGGACTCTGCCTGGAGGAGGTGGTGTGGGCAATGGATACGGATGCTTTTCTGTTCAGTACCTTAGTGTTAGACCTGGAATAATAAACTAAATCACCTTAATATCTAGATAAATCTAGTGATCTCGGCAGGAAATTAACATAGCCCAGGATAAGAACAAGATAAGAACTCCTTCACACTTTCCAGGTCAAAATCTATATTACCGTGCATTGCGTTTGAAGTATTTCAAAATAAAACATTGGATGTATTCTCTATATTCAGTGCTTATTGTATATATACGTACCCAACTGTGGTAGGTCTGCTGAAGCGACTTACCTTCAGGACACTGACCTAGAGATAGATATGTCCCCCAAAAATGAGTGACCCTGAAGGGGACACTAGGTAACCCTGGGCACGTGGGACTGAATGCAAGCACGCAGCGAGAGCTGAGGAGGAGGAGGGTGCGCTGCTGTGGGGAGCACACAAAGGTAGGGTAGTCAGCGTCCTGGTTCCCGAGTGTTGGTCTTGAAAGGCAGAGCAAGGAAAGGGCATAGAGAGTCCTTCCCGGTCCTCATAGAGGCCCAGGCAGTGTATGTTTGTTGTGATCCCGTGAAAAAGTATTGGAATTCTAGCATGCTAATTTCAGTCTTATCACTTCTGGTGCAAACCATGATGAAAATAAAGACACCGAGGCCTGTTTGTAGTTGTGGGGAGCCAGGCGTCCTAAGTCCAGCCGTGGTGATGGCTCTTTGGAGTGAGGGCCTCCACCCAGGACCGAACCCAGGTTTTATGAATTTGTGAAGGAGGTTGAGGATGAATGACTGAGACCGGCAGGATGCCGGTGAGTGCTGTGAGCTGGGCCGGGTCGGAGTCCCGCACTCACCTCTGCAGTATGCAGAGTTATCTGCACGACACAGCTGAGGTAGCGTTTAATGTTTTGGGGTTGGGGCTTCAGTTCCTGTGTGTCATCTTCAGGGGCCTGGAAAGTCTTCGTCTCTATCTCGAGGTTCAACCCCAGACCCCAGCTGACAGCGAGGAGCATGGCTCTCCCTCCTACCTTGCCCCAGCTCATGCACTTTTTATTTGGGAGCTATAGGTGCAGAGCAATGCTACCCTGTCATCTTTGCTTCAAAGGCTATGATGTGTCAGCACCTCGGCTGGACTGGATTGCAGGGTGGGCGGGATAAGGAGAAGCCCCAGCCAGCTCTGTGCACATCAGCACCTGGAAGTAGGGCCGGGCTCAGCCAGAAGGGAGACCACTGCTCTTCTTCAGTGGTCCTGCACAAATGGGGGCCTCTGATCAGAGATCAGGGCAGCAGCAGCAGCATGGGGCTCATAACGTGCTTGGGCCAGGGAGCCTGCCATCTGAGTTGAGCGGGGGGCTCATCCGCACGTGGAAAGGAGGTTGCAGGTGGACTTGAAGGTCTTGGGCTTTGGATTTTGTCTGTTAGCAGCACGGAAGCTGGAATGTGTCCAAGAGAGGAAGTGGTGAAAGTGGCCTTAGGGAGTGTCATTGGTTGTCCAGCAGGACCAGGAGGACCTTGGGCCTGCCAGAGCTCCCAGACATTGTCACTCCCAGTTTCTATTCAGGGCACCCAGAAATGTTGAGCACATTAGAGACATTGTTCACATGGAGAAAAAACCATTGCTTAGATAAGGATGGGAACCATTAGCACTTGGGGATTAAGCCATTATCTAATAGACTTTAAAAAAAAAAGGAAGTCAGGAGAGGCACTTGGCTTGGGGCTCGTGGCAATGACGGGGCCACACTGCACCTTCTAGGAATGTCCGTGCCAGCGTCCCCCAAGGTCCAGCTGCTGGGGCGCCGCCAAGTTTCTTGGCCCTTGGGTGGCATTCTTGTGGGCTGCTGATTGTCCTTGTCCCAGCATTGGGGGAGGGATGCAGCAGCATATGTTAGATGGTTGTTCTCCGTTCCTATTGGGTCTGCCTTTATAGTTTATCCAAAAAGCAAAATTAAAGACAAGAACAGTGAAGGGCTTCTGAATAATATTTTAATATATGTGTATTATATGGTAGAGACTCCAATACTGGGAGATCAATTAAACCCATTTAATGAAATGCCATACAGCTTTAAGTAGCACGTTTTAGTCCAGCATTTAAAATGTTAAAATGCCTATAGTGTTCAATAGGAAGCATCGGATGACTGCATAGGATATGCCAGTGCAAAACCAAATTTGCTGTTACAAATGCATGTCATGTAAAATATTGATGGTAGTTATTTTTGACTTTTATATGGGGTTTAACATTGTTTTTCATTTTCTTAAAACTTCCAAACTTGCACTGTACACACATATAGAGCCTTTCCGAGAAGGGGAAAGTATGGTCAATTAAAAAACAACAACAACAACAAAACGAGGTACCAGGCACGAAACAGATAAACCCCCCGAAACAGAAACCCAAGTCCATGCGCAGCCCCTGCTTGCTGGGTTCAGTGCCCGGTATTCCAAAAGAAGGGAGGGGGCCTGCCCCTTAGCTCAGTTCTTTAAGTGGCTGCTTCAACAAAGCAGTCAGGCTCAGGTTACTGTGGTTCGGATCCCCACAACTGAAGCCAGCCAAACCTGCCCTGAAGGCATTCGGAGAAAAAAAAAAAGAAGGGAGGAAGAGCAGGGAGAGAGAAACAGAGCAGGGAGGGAGAGAAGAACCAAAGAAGTGTTCTGAAAGGAGAATTTGTCTCTTGGTGGCCTTTATAGCTCTGTCCTCCCTGGCTCCCTTTATGCTGCGTCCTTGGCTAACTCCTGTTCCTCTAGCTTCTTGACAAATTTCAGGCCTTAATGTTTCAGAATAAAACACGATAGACTGAGCAGGGCGTGGCGGCACGTGCCTGTGGTCGCAGCCCACGGGAGGCTGAGGCGGGAGGATTGCCATGAGTGCAAGGCCAGCCTGGGCTAAGAGAGGCAGCAAAGCCCCTGATGGATCTGGGGCTCGGTCCCTAGTAAAGATCACTTCAGTGATGACAAGGAAAGACTGGGTCTTGGCATTATGTGGGAATCAAGAACAGTAGTTTCCAGTTCAGTTATTGTGAATGCCGCGCTGAGGGGACCATTCAGGCCACACGCCAAGTGAAGCCCTGCCTTCTGGCCAGGGGCCTGTGCCTGCCCGGGTCCATCATGTGCTTGTCTGTAGAGTTGTCACTGTCCTGCAAATGCCAGCCGAGCACACGCGTTTGTAGCTGCTTTCCTAGAGAATGTCCTTGTCTCAGCACGAGAGCAGGGCTTCCGGGGGTCTACCTGGATCCCTACCATCCTCTCGCCGTCCTGGAGGGAGCCTTCTCTGTAGTGCCGGTGGCAGCGGGTCATCCAGGGCGCCTTGAGAGAACAGAATTGCAAGCATTGGTTCACAGGAGTTGTGCTGGAGAGAGGCGCGCCTGACGGTCTGCTGGGCCCTTGCAAAAGCTGGAGGGCTCTGGCGGAGGGACCTGCCTTCTAACCAGAACCTCCCTTGCGGGCTCTGGCCGAGCCAACAGGCAGAGCAAACCTCTGCTTGGCCTGCGGAAGCTGGGAGTACAGCGCAGGTCGGAGGTTGGCTAGGGCAGGCCACTGCTCGCCGGTCGACGCTGGAAGTGCAGGTGACCCTCAGGTGGCAGTCCTCGTCCAGGTGTGAGAATGCATGCGGACAAGGGGAGCGAGCACAACTGTTCCAAAGAGAGGCTTTTATTTTTAACTGCACTAGAAATGGCCATAACAACTCAATGCAGAAGTGCGTGGAGTGCACAGAGAAAGTGAGCTCATTGCTAGCATCCCAGCTTCCCATCCGCCACCTTCTGGAAGCGAGTCATGTGGCTGTGTGGCCTCTCACAACCCAGTGTGGCCTCGGTTTCCCGCCACGGGTCACAGATTGTTTGCCTGGAACCAGCAGTTCCTGGCATCCATCCTGTGATGCTTGAGTTGTTCGTCATCCATCTCGTAAATAAAGGAATCCTGTTTAATCAGAATGTGTGGGTAGTTGTGTCCGCACCCACTCTCTAGGGCTCCCGTTGCCCTGCGCCCCGCCGCCGGCCGAGCCCCCAGCCGCACTCCCGTCCTCTCGGCTTCCGTCCTGCTGTCCAGTTGTGTCCACTCTCGGCTTCTGTCCTGCTGTCCAGTTGTGTCCACTCTCGGCTTCCATTCTGCTGTCCAGTTGCGTCCACTCGGTTTCCGTCCTGCTGTCCAGTTGTGTCCACTCTTGGCTTCCGTCTTGCTGTCCAGTTGTGTCCACCCGCCTGCCCGCAGGCCGATCCATCAGCCTCGTTGGGAGGTTTTTACTCACAGACCACTTCTGTCATCTAACAGTGTTTAAATATTTGTAGGGAAGAGGTGGCTTGGCTACAGAGTATGGCTGTTTCCTTTTTTGCCACAGTAATTTCATTTTTAGCTGCTAAGTAAAAATTGTACGTATGAATGGGGAACCGTGTGATGCTGGCGGATGCGGAAGACTGCGTGATGTTCAGAGTAAACATCATTTCCTCAAACATTTGTCATTTCCCTGTGGTGGAACGGTCCAAATTCTTTCTTTTTGTGAGACAAGGTCTCACTACGTAGCCCAGGCTAGCCTCGAACTTATGACGGTCCTCCTGCCTCAGCCTCCCAAGCCTGGGACTCTCGTTGTGCACCACCATGCTTGGTCCGAGATCTATTCTTGAGGCTCGCGTGATATGCACGCACAGTGTCACCTGTACCCACCCCCTTGTGTGAGAGCTTCTCTTCCCTCACTGCAGTTACTGCTGCCATTCTCCAGCTCCCGCCACCCACTGCTCCCTCCCACTCTGCAGCCTTTGGTGGCCACTGTTCTCAGCTCGTAGGACATCGGCTCTTTGAGGCATCCGCACGGCAAGGTCACAGGCTGCTCTTTCACGCCTGACTCCCGTAGAGGAGCTGGACAGGTGCTCTGCCGCTGAGCCCACTCTCGTGCGAGTGCTGGGGCGGTCGGTGGGCTGGTCCCCCTCCTGCTGCACACGGCACCTGCTGGGCAGGGGGCCGCTGAGGGGAGAGCGGGAGGGCGCAGGCGAGGGCAGTGACGAGCCTAGAAGGTCGCTTTCAAGCCGTTCTGTGGGCAGCCCAGAGTGGGATGTGTGCTCTCCTGGTGGCTCCTGGAGGTGGGTAAAGTGCAGTGTGCTTTGAAGTTGTGCGGCGCTGCCTGCCTCGCTGGGGAGTTTGGTGACACCTCACTGTGAGTAAACTGCAGTGGTGTGTACTTAGGTTTGGCTATTCCTGTGGAGACATCTAGGGTGCAGGGCGGGGCTCCCCCTGCCAGCACCCCTCTCCCTCGCACCCAGCCTTTCCTCCTGGGCTCCTGTAGTTTTCCTTTTGCTTAGTTCTCACACTCAGGGCCTTACCCTCCCAACCTCCAGCAGCTCTGCTCAGGAGCTCTGGGCCGTGGAGCTTAAGCTCTGGAACCCTTGGCAGCCGCCCCTGCCTGAACCATGTTCCCCTGGCTCTTGAGCTAAGAGGGCAGGACAGTTGGGAGGCTGAGGCAGGAGGATTGGGAGTGTGAGCCCAGCCTGGGCTGTGGAGGGTGACCCTGTCTCAAAAGACAAAACAAAAATGCTTGCTTTTTGTATTCTTCTGTTAATGTACCCATCTCTAGGATTTGGAATTATCTCGCTAAGCAGTCCAGGCTGTATTGAGCTCAGTTTGTGGCCCAGGCTGGTCTCAAACTCACAAAGATCCAAGTGCTGGGATTACAGTCAGGCGCCACCATGCCTGGTGGAATTATTGTTATTGAGCTTAAATTACTGTAGAACTGCTTTGTCATACAAGCTCTTTTTATGTTTTATTCTATAAACATTCTTTAGAGACTAGGTTTTATTTACTTCTTTATGTTCGATGACAGGAATTGAACTCGGGATCTTGCTGTACCACTGAGCTATATCTCCAGCACTAGGTTTTATCTTGAGAAGGTCCTTTTATTCCTTTTCAGTGTGAGGGCTTATCTGTGCTTTAGTACTAAAGCTCCCTCTTTTATGATTTGTGTGATCCGTGATCACCATTCAGATATGTCCTGGCCTGTACCTGCTCAAGCTTTGCGTCCTCCGGTTTTGTTCCCGGGCAGGGTACACTTCTCTCTGCAGTTTCTCAGCTTAGCTTAACTGGTGAAGAGCAAGCATTTGCTTGCAGAGAGGCTGCTGCTCAAGTGCAGGCTCAGCGTCAGGGCTGTGTACCCCGTGGTCAGGGTTCTGCCATTTATTTGTTGTTGAGACAGGGTTCTGCTGTGTATCCCAGACTGGCTTTGTACTCACAGTAGTTCTCCTCAGCCTCCTAAATGCTAGGATAACAGGTGCGCACCACCACGCCTGGCTTCTGCCACTTATTGAGCAACTACCATGTTGATCTGGGCTTGAGGTCCTTCGGTGCACAGAGGGGGCCAGTCAGCTGGGTACGCTGAAGGTCACAGGGCTTCCATTCTGGCGGTGGTAGACGGTCATACACGGGAGGCGAAGCAGACTGCAGCATCCTGGGTGATGGGTTCTTGGAGGGAGAAAGACAGGGACACGTGTGCTTGCGTTGTTGGCCCAGGGTCCTTCTCCCAGCCCCGAGGACGTCTCCATGAAGGAGGAGAACCTCTGCCAAGCCTTCTCTGATGCTCTGCTCTGCAAAATCGAGGACATTGACACTGAAGACTGGGAGAACCCGCAGCTGTGCAGCGACTATGTCAAGGACATCTACCAGTATCTGCGGCAGCTTGAGGTGGGTGCGGGGTGGCTGGGTCACTGAGCAGCATGGAGGGAAATGAGGTCGGCTCTTGAAACTGCTCCCTTCTATCCTCAGGCCCTGCAGTCCATCAGCCCCCATTTCCTGGACGGCAGAGACATAAATGGACGCATGCGCGCCATCCTGGTGGACTGGCTGGTCCAGGTGCACTCCAAGTTCAGGCTCCTGCAGGAGACTCTCTACATGTGTGTGGCCATCATGGATCGCTTCTTACAGGTGAGCACGCTCCCAGGGCCTGTGCCCTGGCTCGCCGGACGCTGCACCACAGCGACCTTAGAGTCCCTCCAAAGAAACAGCCGAGAGCCAGTTTACCCGGAACTGAAGAACTTGGGCTGCTGCAGGAGAAGAAGTTCAAGTTTGACAGCCTTGTATTCTTCTGTTACTGTACCCATCTCTAGGATTTGGAATTAACTCGCTATGCAGTCCCGGCTGTCTTGAGCTCAGTTTGTGGCCCAGTGTGGTGGTGGTGGCCAGTGCTGTCAGTTCTGACAGGAAGCCAGCTCCAAAGGGCTCAGGGAATCATGCTGAGGGTCCTTTACCCCAAGTACCGGGGCTGGGAGTGTCTTGGGTTTTAGATTTGTTTAGATTTCGGAATGTTTGCACATGTGTAAGGGAGCACCCTGGGGTGGGACCCAAGTGGAAGCCCAGGCCATTCATCGCATCTGTACCCTGAACGTGCAGCCTGAAGGCAATTTTCTAAGTATGTGGCGTGCACCCATGTTCTGACTGCCGCTCACGGGAGGTCAGCTGTGGGCTTCTGCATGTGCGGTGTCCATGGGTGTGTAAGGAGTCTGGGTTTTGGAGCATTTCAGGTTTTTGGCTTAGGGCTGCCTCGCCGGCACTGAGTGGCTGCAGTCCTTCAGAGGAAGCACTCCATAGGTGAGATGAAAGGCACCTCGCAGCTGGGCGTCTGGGTAGCCCGCTTGTGCCAGTAGCTGTGTGCCCGTCCGCTGTGAAGTGAGAAAGCCTTTACAGAGGAAAGGTGTGCTGTGGCTCACGCTTTCTGGGGTCTTAGTCCACGCCCGTCCAGCTCCACTGCGTTGTGGCTCTCCGGAAGCAGGGAAGCAGACACACTTCCCAGGAGCCCGCTTCTTTCCCTCAAGGTAGCCCAGAAGCCAGTGAGGGCAAAGCCAGCGAGGGCAGAGCTGGAAGGGACGCACCTCCCAGAGCCACGCCCCTGGGAGCTGCTCCATCCAGTCAGGTGCCACCTCCTCCTAAGCCCACTGAAGTCGCTCCTGGGTTAACTCATTGGTGAGGTTAGGGTGCCCTTGATCAGTCATTTCCGGCTCTCAACCTGTCAGGGGACGTTACATTGAAAATCCAAAGCAAAGAGGGAGGATTCTTTTTCTGAGACAGGGTCTCATTCTGTAGTTCAGGCTGTCCTTGAACTGTGTGTAGCCCAGGCTGGTCTTGAATTTACAGTGTTCCTCCTGCATCAGCCTCCCAAGTGCTGGGATTAACGGCACGTGCTACCACACCTGGCTGCTTTTCTACTTTTTAAAAGGAACTACATATGTGTGTAGAGTATACTGAGAATTTGCAGAGTAAGTAAGCTGAGAAGCATCAAAGTACTTACCAACAGTTCACGCACTAAACAGAGGCGCCAGATGGAAGCTGCGCAGGTGGTAACTACCACGGGGCTGCCCTGCAGCTCAGGATTTAGAGTTTGCAGAAGGAGTAAGGTCAGGTGCAAAGGCTACCCTCTAACGATGTAGCAATTTTGATAATGCCCTGAGACGCTGTAAAATCCTGAGTACTCATGGATTCTGTGGTTCTCAGGACACTCTTGGGCAGGAAACCACAGCAGTATTTAAGTATATTTTCAGCGGTGAGAGCTAAAGCAAGAAAAAAAGTCCTACTTTAAAAAAAAAAACTGGGGCTGGGGGAGATGGCTCAGTAGAATAAGCGCTTCCCTGGCAAGCGCAAGGGCCTGAGTTCAATCCCCGGTTCCACCAAAAAGACAAAAATGCTGGGCTCGGGAGTTGAGGCAGGAAGGTCATCAAAGAGTTTGAGGCCAGCCTGGGCTACATAGTGAGACCCTGCCTCAGAAAAAAGAGAAAGACAGAGCCAGGTGTGGTACAGGGTTGTAATCCTAGCACTCTGGGAGGCTGAGGCAGGAGGCTTTTGCAGATGTAGCTCAGGGAAAAGGTCTGGCGTTTCATCTCAGCACTGGAGGAGGAAGGAAGAGGAGGGAGGGAAGGAGCTGCAAGGAATACTTGTGCCCTAGACCAGCCACGGCGAACCTGCCGGAGCCTTCACTAACATAGGCAGCCTGCTGTGTTTGGCACCACTGCCCTGCACTGAGACTTGCCCTGTCTCAGAAGCACTGTTGGAAGACTGGTCCAAGCCCAGTAATGGTGGTTTTTACGAGGGTTCTGGCAGCCCTAGAACTGCACAGGAAGGTCCTCCCTGTGCCGCCTGACCTTGTCTCCAGAGACCTTGCTGGTGCTGGGAGGTGATGGAGGGCCTGGCAACTGAGTGCCGTGGTTGGTGGCTAGCAGGAGTGACCTCTGACCCATGTCCCCTCAGGTTCAGCCAGTCTCGCGCAAGAAGCTCCAGCTGGTGGGGATCACCGCTTTGCTCCTGGCTTCCAAGTACGAGGAGATGTTTTCTCCAAATATTGAAGACTTTGTGTACATCACTGACAATGCTTATACCAGCGCCCAGATCCGAGAAATGGAGACGCTCATCTTGAAAGAGCTGAAGTTCGAGTTGGGCCGCCCCTTGCCCCTGCATTTCTTAAGGCGGGCGTCGAAGGCTGGGGAGGTGGGTGCCTGGCCTCTGTTGTGTCTTTGCTGTCACATCCAGAAACACTGATCTGACGGAGGCAGGGCTGCTGGCTGTGCAGCGAGCTTCCCTCAGGTGCTGCTCTGTCTCATCACCAAAGATCTTAGGGGAATAGGCATTAGCTTTTGTGTTTCTAACAGCCATGCAGCAGAGCAGTTCATGAGAAAGCGGGGGGCTGGGCATGAGACTGTAGGCAGTGGTGCTGAGCCTGGGCGTGGCGTGCAGCAAAAGCTGTGGCAGGCCTGCCACCACTGCACCTGCAGGTCATCGGATGACGCCTGTGTGTGACGCAGTGCCCCTTTGCAGGTGGACGTGGAGCAGCACACCTTAGCCAAGTATCTAATGGAGCTGACGCTCACTGACTACGACATGGTGCACTACCATCCTTCCAAGCTGGCCGCGGCTGCCTCCTGCTTGTCTCAGAAGGTCCTGGGCCAAGGAAAATGGGTGAGTGCTGGATTGGAGGAGTCAGGCCCTCTGGTACTTAGGCCCGCGTGATGGGAAAGACTGGCGCTTCATCCATCTGTGAAGTAGTCGCTGAAAGTGGAAAGGGTGAAAGCCCCCGCCTGGGATGTGCTGAGCCTGCAGGTGGTCCTGACCCTCTGACTACACCCCCAGCCCTCTTGAATTTTGAGACAGGATTTTGCTAAGTTGACCAGGCTGGCCTAGAACTTGCAGTCTCCTGTCTTGTCTTCCTGAGTAGCTAGGGTTGCAGTAAGCACCTTTTTGACCCTTTGCTTTTGAGAAAGCGTCTCTCTCCCTTAAACTCACTATGTTGCCCAGGCTGGCCTCGAACTCAGTGATCCTCATGCTTCAGCCTCCGAAGTGTTGGGGTTACAGGGGTGCGCCACCACACCAGGCTATCTTTTTGACTTTGACAATGTAACTGTTTTGTGCAGACTGTAAGATGGAATTAAGACAAACAGTGTAGCTATCAAACTGGTTACAGAGCACAGAGGAAAGAAGTAACTGAAACACAAGGGATACAGATAAACAAAACAAAGGACCCAGAGCGTAACTTAGTAGTTTATTGTATAGTTCTGGAGCTACTTGTGCATATCCTAGCGTCAAGGTAGTACACCCTTGCTATTAGGCTCTAATGCTTTTGCTGTCTGTTATTTCTTTTGTCCACAAAAACTTTTTAATTTAGGATAATCTCCTGTGTTGATTATTTTTTTTTTCATTATTTTATTGAAAAACAAATAGCAATGAGACAGTTTAAAAACAGGTTAGTAGGACAGTTACAATAATTAATACATTGCATATTGTCTTCATAG